TTTCGGCCAAACCATGGTGAGTTAGCCATCGAAAAAGGTACCATTCTCTTTGTCTCGTCGAAAAGCATGATTTTCGTTTTTAAATCACTTGATTTCGTTGAGTATTGAAGAAGTATGAACATTTAAAGTTTACCTAGTTTCCGGCGAGTTTTCAAGTTTTCACTTGGACCAGTCAACTTTGAAGCTATTTTCCGGCCATCTACGGCAACCGTTGGGCTTTGAAATAGGTATAATCGTATTCTACACTTTCCTATCTTCATTTTGATATATTATGGGTCGAATTTGGTTAAGAAACGATTGAGTTACGAAGCTTTGAAAATTGCCCAAACTTCTGGCCAAGAGCTCCTGGACACTTAACGGAGTTTTTAACGGAATGATCAAAATGATGGATGGTGGACAATCTCAGGGACCACTTTTATCGATTTGGAATCTCAGAGACCAAAGTGATGAGTTAAGCAAATCTTAGGGACCATTTTGGCGATTTACCCTTTTCTGAAAAATATAGAAAGTATTAGCATAAAACTTTGGAAAATTAGTGTGGAAGATGAAGAAGATAGAGGACTTATCTACGCATAACGCTATCATGGTTTACAAAAACAATAAAGTTTTATTTCACTAAGTGGTCGGCTGTATGAATCCTAAAACGTTACCACAACTTACAAAAATAATAATACAATGATAATAGATCTGTGAAAGTAAAACACATTGTTCAATTTTTTTTTTGAACAAACGATATTATCTGCACTAAGCGAGTGGAGTGGGCTAAGTCTCACAATGTGCTACCAATATTGTGGTTCAAATTCGTAGTTGTTGAAAATCGAACCTTAGACCTCTCATTTATCAATAAAGAGGAATACCACTATATCGTGGTACTGAGTGGCACATTGTTCAATATTTTTAGCACTAAGCTTTATGACGGTGTCAAGAAGAATGTATGTAGCCCATATCTCGACATATGTTGAGGAGCAGACCCTTTAAAGAAAGGGATTCTCATATTTTTTTTAAATAGGAATTAATTGTGGGATCCATTCTACATCGAACTTTAACAATCCGAACCGTTTATTTTGTAAGTCTTGATTCAGAGATCACCATTGCAAAAATTTAATTCAATTCAAAACCATTTGTCTATTTAATTATCACAAATATTTCTGATTTGATTAATATTTTGCAATAATGATCTAAGAGATGCAACCTGAAAAATCGACAGTTCGGATAGTTAAAGTTTGATGTGGTATGGGCTCACAACTAATTCTAATTTAGGAAAAATGAAGATCCCTTCTTTTAAAAACGATGACATGTATGATAAGTATAAACAACTATCGTGACGTTACGTTCATAACGTAAGCATTTTGTTTGGCAAAATATTGTATAATTGACATCAAATGTTATATTAATGGGATACTCATATATAATGTAAATCATGTAAGTTACTCCGAAAACCAAAAAAAACATGGATGGGGGCACATCGGGAAGTGGCATGCGACGGCCCACAGATAGAAGTCCCGCGTTTCCCGGCACAGGAAAGCCAAATCAATGAATGAAACTCACGATACATCCTCTCTCCGTCTCTCTAAAAAATAGAGGAAGATTATCTCCCGTTCTAATATCTTTCTCCTTTCTTCTTCTTTTATTTAAATGATTACGATTTAACCACGTTAAGATTTCATATTAATTTTTTTATAAAGATAATAAGATAAAAAACAGTATGTAAGAAGAAGGAAGAGAAGAGGATGGAAATACAAGAAGAGGGGATCCTCATCCCTCAAAAACTCGTGAGCTCTGACGGAGTAGCAGTAAGAACAATATGATTAGATAAATAATCGGGATTTGTGCCACTAATCATCACTCAAGTGTATTAAATATCGGGATAGCGGTGGTCAACATTCTACTGTTCCCTCGTCAACGCTCAGCATACCCCTACCACGTGACTCTTCTTTTTCTGGTTCGGCCATTATTTGCTTCTGTTCTGTCCTGCATAACTTGCATGCCTTCCGTTATGCTTGCTGAACAGCTCCAGACTCCCAAAAAACGCAGGGAGAGAGAGTGTCCTGTCCTTTCTCTCTGGTATTTGCCACCCCCCACCCCCACCCCCCCCCCCCGTGCACGTGAAATTGATTAAACCCTAACCCTACTTCCACAGTCACCCACTGTTTCATACTGTGAAAATATTATTTCAGAATAATTAAGAACATTTGAGGGTGTACGGTGTACTTATATAATGAACTGTGATGTATATTTGAGTATATATAATTATATTTTCTGAAAAATGTATAATATTTATTGATTAAGAAGGAATTCGCAGTAGATTCAATCGAAGTAAAAAGAGTGCTGCAACATAGAGTGCATTAATTAATGATGATTTTGCTTATGGAAATATCATTTTTACAATTTTGCATGACTACGAGTATAAGAGGAGAATTATATTTCCAGCAATGCCAACTACAATTCTCAACCTATTTGGACCGCCATCCTTGCATCAACACCTTGTAATGCAGGCGCGATATAACTCCCGATCATTTTTTCAGGCAAGCGGAAACACGCATGTTAGTAAAAGGTGTTGAATTCACAACATTTGTTGTTTGTACGATACTAGGATTAGTATACTTCTTAAACTAGTCACCCAATTATCCTTTGTTAGAATGGATTATGAATTCGAATCTAGACAATTATTCTTAGATACGTACATCAACCAGCTACCTAAATCCAAAAAATAGATTTCGTAAAGAAAATTTCAAGACATAATATGAGCTTACCTTATTTTTACTGTCCTGAACAACTCGCCAAACTATCGAAATCTTAAAAGTATAAATTGATTTGTGAATTTCTTTTTTGATTATAACAAAAATACCCTTTATTTCTATATCTAAAAAAGAAAAAAATAGAACTTGGCTGCTGAAAGAATCAGCATCACCCCTGCTAATCACCAATCACGACTGGACACATGTCCAATTTATGATTAAAAAATTCATAACTTGAACACGTATTCAACCGTAATTAATTATCAACAAGAAATGAAATCTTCAACAGTCAAGTTGCGGTCAAAGAAAAATGCTCTTTTTTGAAAAGAAAATTAAAGCTATGATTATTTTCATATGTGGACAAACGGACAGAACAGAACTCGGGATTTGCCAAATCATAAAGAGAGTAAGTAAAAGTCGGGATTGCCGAAAATATAAAAAACTCCAACCCAAAAAGTAAATAATCCAAGTTCCGTGAACCCATAAATTATAAATTAAAAAATAAAAAACAACTTTTACCAAAAAATTTTTTAAAAACAACGCTTACCCTGTTGGACTAAACGGCGACAAGTGGGCATCAAACAGTAGCCCCTATTAACGTCCGTTTCAACCACTTAACGACGTCAACCCTGCCGTAACGTCGTTATTCCAGCGGCGGGTTTCACCTAACGGAAAACAACCAAAACAAATATTAAAAATACAGAAAGCAATGGATAGCAGACTGTATAAAAGATCTCCAGCCAAAGAGCTCACAAGCTCACCAAGAGAGAGAAATGGAGTTTTAGAGAGAGAAAGAGAGGAGAGAGAGAGAGAGAAAGATCTCCAGCCAAAGAGCTCACAAGCTCACCAAGAGAGAGAAATGGAGTTTTAGAGAGAGAGAGAGAGAGAGAGAGAGAGAGAGAGAGAGAGAGAGAGAGAGAGAGAGTGCCGACTATCGGCGCACTGTTCGTCATCGGAAATTTGAAGAAGGAGAAGGAGCCGATAAGAATTTCCGAAAAGGTGAGATTTTCATGCTCGAAATTTCGGAGGCGATTTTTCTCGGTTCATGCATTTCTGTTAGATCTTTTTCAAGCTCTGAATTCAAAGCACTTTTCGTCAGTGAGATTCGACTCTGGAGCTGAATCGTCACGTAAGCTGCTGTAACAATTCGAAATTTTCAAATCGCAGAGACTGCAGGTTCGAATTTTTTCTTCCCTCGGTTGATTTGAATTTTTCGAAATTTTATTCGGATGTTTATCGGTTTGTAACTCTCAAGCTCCTGATTTTTTTAATAAAATTATTTTTCGTCAGAGAAAGACGATATTCCAAACTACTCTGATCAAAGCGAACACGATTCGAACGATTTCTTCTATAAATTGTTGAAAGCTTCAAATCGTCTTGATATATACGGGGAATTTTCATTTTATGGTCATTTTTTTGCTTTCCGATTATAAATCAAGGAAGAACTGACGATTTTGTGCCGAAAATTTGAAACTATGCAGGCGAAGCAAAGCAATTGATATCGAAAAGCATTCGGAGAATTCGAATCAAAGCTTGGATTTTTCTTTCCTTCTCCTCTTCTGAAAGCGAAAGCGAATGTGCCTTCTTACTTCGAAGGTGTTCGAAGGCTCCCCGCGAATCTGTGAAGCTGAAGCAGCCGAGAGAATTTGTTAAAAAAGAACAAAACTTTCAACCTCTCCGTGTCATTAATCCCGGAATTCACTGAACTCCGGTGAATTTTGGAGTGTTTGGATACTGAATTTTCCGTTAAAATTACAAATTTTCCGGGAAAATAATATCTCAGCCCCGCGGCCTGTACAGATATGGAGCTTCCGCAGCCTCGGCCGTTCGGAACCGAAGGTATTTCATTTTTCGGAAACAAATATTTGTTTTCGTTTTTAATTTGTTGTATTTTGGAAAGAAATTTTAGGAAATGGGAAGGGAATTAAAAGTGTTTTAATTCTTAACCTTGAATTCAAAGTTTTTGTACAGGAAGAAAACCGACGCATGACTTTCTGTCACTCTGCGCTCATTCAGTTGCCCAGCAAGATCCAAGACCACCTGCTCAAGGTACCCTTCCTTTTTCTTCATATTAATATTATAATTCTTCGTTTACATCATATAGAAATTTAGGTACAACGAGATGTCATTGTAACGTATCTTAAGCTAGTTACTATTGCATGTTTGAGCTCTTTTACAGGTCATGATAGATTCGAAATACCGTCACATTAGTCGAGGTGTAACGTAAAATTCTTTAATTCTTTTCAAGATGAGTTTTCTATTTTGCTACGATGCGTGAATTAAGTAGCGCGTAGCTAATTATTTATTGTCTTCTGCTTTAATCTTCTCACATAACGATTAACAATTTTTTTTTTTTAAATATTAGATGCTTTATTAAATACAGTATAAGATAGTATAAAGGATAACCAAAGACAGACAATTTAACACCCAACGTGAATATTGAGAACAAAATTTGCATCTTACAAAATTTCGGAAAAAAAAAGAGAGCTTCACTCATGACACAAATTAAAGACTAGAAGAAACACTAACCTTTCATAACACAAATTTCTTTCTCCGCCTCAATAGAGATTTTTTAGGGCACCGAAAATACTGAATCTAGATTAAGTGTAATAGTACAATTCGTTAAAAACTTAAAAAGAACATTTTCAACTAATTATATAATGACACATGATGTAGCGCAACATATTCCTGACCTATTGAAAAATATATTTCTCCCTCCCCAAGATCATTTTTCTTATTTATTTTTTTCGATTATTTGCATGTGTAAATTAATACGCGAGATAAAATATGTATTTTGTTTGTTTAATTAGACAAATATAAGAGGGTCACGATTATGCATGCACGTGACCGCAACTGAACTGTGGATCTGGTTGTTATCAATCTGGGCCATGCATGTTGTGGGCCAGCCTCGAAACAGTTAAAATTGGCTGCAAATGCGAAAAGGGAAATGGCTACGCTTTAACCATCAGCACCTTTAGATTGGCACGAGATGGAGATGTTGTCGGGTCCTTGATGGGACCCACCCATGGAAGTTAGCAATGATTTGACATTTGACATGTCGCATATCACGCCCGATGCAGGTGCATGGTATGAAACGTGGGCTGTGAAGTTGACGACTCATTTTTTTTTGTTTAATTTTTATATTAAAACTTATGTGCGTAAAGTTTTTAAACACGTTTTCTTCAAATCTTGGATCTGAGAAATGAATCTTAAAAACTGGATCATGAGAACTGAATCCAGAATGTTTCGGTTTTTCATATTTTGAGTTATGTTCTGTTATAATATAAACTAAAACGGGAATGAAGATTCGAATTTGAATGTAGATGGAGTGTGTAAGCTACTCTAGGCAATTTGGCTATGTTGAATTCTGACAATATGTTAACCACCACCAGGTGATCCGGTGGTTAATTGAGATGAATTTTAGAGTCGTATTTCACATTGCACATCATGGTTCGATTACTGGTGCTGGTGAATCACATATGCCCAGAAAAAGCTGAAATGGTAGACTGTCATGAGACCACCTGTCTATGTCCAAATATGATATATAATCATTCAATGACGAAGTTTCCAAAGTCAAAGATTTTCCTATTAGGAGAAAATTTGAGAAAAATATATGATAGTAAAGCAAGATTTGCAAATGCTTATCTGGATTAGTGCTACACTATTTTCAACACCTTACCTTTGGTTTTATGTAATTTCAGGACGCTACCTTGAAACACATGATTTCTTACGACCACTTGAACGAATGGGAAAGCCATGCATTGCTAAGGAAGAGACCTCAGTTGAGATATCAACCGCTGAAAAACAACCGTCTCATGCGGCGGCGCAGCCGACTACTTCTGTGGAGCATATTCTCCCCGGTGGGATTGGGACTTACAGTATAAGTCACATTTCGTATTTTAATCAAAGGGTTCCGAAACCAGAGGGATCGCCGGTGTTTACGGTCGGTCAAGCAAGTAGTGGCGAGAGAAACGTTGACGAAAACTCGAACTGTAGTTCTTACACCGGAAGTGGATTCACTTTGTGGGAAGAATCTGCAAAGAATAAGGGAAAGACAGGGAAGGAGAATGTTGTGGGAGAAAGACCCCTGGGTACCGTGAGAGGTAATTAACCTTGATCTGTATTTTTTGCATGTGGTGCATAATTTGTGTTCCTTAAATTTCAATGCGATGAGAGGAAACGAAAGATGGAAATGAAACTCATGGCAGTTACTGGGGTTTTGACAGGGCAATGGACCTCTTCGGAGCGGCCTGCGCAGTCATCTTCCAACAATCATCGCAGCTGCTTCAGTTCTCAGTCAGTCCCTAGCCATCTCGAACTCTAATATTACTTTTCTTTCGACTCTCCGTGTGATTGATTTCGATATCATATATGCAGTTTTTGATATATATAATTGGAATGTCAACAGGTCATCTGGGCAGAAGAACATAAGCTTCATGGAGATGATGAAGTATGCCGCCAAGGGTAGTGCCCAGGAAGCCGAACTTGACGATGAAGAAGAGTTTGTTCTAAAAAAAGAGACCTCTACTACTACCACCAATGCCACCACCACGTATAAGAGTACGTCTCCTCGTTAGATAAAATTTCATTTGAAATTCTTTACCCTATTCTTATCCTTTATTTTTTATTTTTTCATCTTCACTGAAGAGTTTGTGTGTTTCTGAAGGCGATTTGAGGGTAAACGTTGATAATAAGAGCTCTGATCAGAAGGCTAACACGCCGCGATCCAAACATTCTGCAACCGAGCAGCGAAGAAGAAGCAAAATAAATGACAGGCAAGTTTCTCTTCAATATAATACAAAATTCATGTTTTGGAAATAAGAAATGCTACAAGAACCAAGATAAAAAGGGTCGTACCCAGTGCACAAGGCTCCCGCTTTACGCAGGGTCTGGGAGAGGTGAATGTCGGCTAGCCTTACCCCCATTTTATGGAGAGGCTGCTCCCAAAATGAATCCCAAAATTTTACAAGAACCAAGATGAATCCCAAAATTTTACCCCCATTTTACAAGAACCAAGATGAATCCCAAAATTTAGCCAGTTTCGTATGTATCCGAAGCAATAGCTTCTAACATGATAAAAATCATATGATCAGCTCCTTGGCGGGTTTTCTAACATTATTGTAGATTGACCTTTGAAAGTTATTTGCAGATTCCAAATGTTGAGAGAGCTCATTCCTCACAGTGATCAAAAGAGAGATAAGGCATCATTTTTATTAGAGGTACACCGCACGTAAATTATTAATTGTCGTAATTTATCTCCTCCTTTACCTTTCACTTCAGATTTGAATGACCGGGTTTTTATCTTTTGCTTCCCAGGTTATCGAATACATTCAGTTTTTACAGGAACGGGTAAACAAGTACGAGGGTCCATACCAAGGATGGAACCATGATCCAGCAAAATTGATGCCTTGGGTAAGAAGTCAGGCCTTTATATCCTTTGTGGCATTACCGTGAACTAGTAGTAGACTAATATCTTTGTTTTTCTTCTGGAAACAGATCAACAATCACAAGCTTAAGGAGAGTTACTGTGATCAATCTCGAGGCATGAATGGTGTGTCTGGTCCTGCATTACCGTTTGCTGCAAAGTTCGATGAGAAACCTACTTCTGTCTCACCGACAATCCCTGCAAGCTGCGCACAGAACCCTGTAGAATCCGACACAAGTACTGAAACCACCTTCAAAGCCGTGGATCACCACCCTGGAATAACAAGCAAGTCGATGCCCTTTCCTTTGTCAATGCAACCGAACCTCTTCGCTCCTGTCAGGAGTAGTGCTGCTGCTGCTGCTGTACCTCCAATTCCACCTAGACTGCCATCTGATGCAGAGAACACATCTCAGCATCGATCTATGTTATGTCAGACGAGATCATGCGCTACTGATGGTACTGCCACTAGGGATAAGCTAAAGGAACAGGAGCTGACAATTGAAGGCGGCCGAATTAACATCTCAAGTGCCTACTCCCAAGGGTGAGTTTTCTTGTGCTTTAAGTTACATATTCAATCGGTCTTTCCATGTATGTTTCGAGTTTATTGAGCTTATTTCAAAAATGTGCAAACCGTAAACCCTGAAAGCTCTACTTAGAAGATGCATCTAGATTTATGAGTGAATAACATAAGCGGATTTCGGCATTGGACAGGTTATTGAATACGCTGACACAAGCCCTTCAAAGTTCCGGCGTGGATTTGTCACAGGCCAGTATCTCCGTGAAAATCGAGCTAGGGAAGCGAGCAAACAGAAGATCACCTATACCAAAATCCGCGATTAAGGTATATCATGTTCATCTAGCTGTCTCATAAAACGCATCGAATTCAGTTTGTATAACAACCACAGCTAAAACTTGTCTGCATTCTTCTGCAGGAAAATGAGATTCCTACAAGCACTTTAGGAAAAAAGCACTCTGTAATTGCAAGCAGTGAAGAATCTGAACAAGCCCAAAAGAAACTCAAGACATTCAGGAACTAATTAATATGACAAATTAAGCCTAATGTATTATTATTTTTAAAATATAATTAATTCATTTTTTTTTTTTTTTTGGAACCCCTTTGATGAAGTATGGGGTTGATTGTACAATGTACATGTAGTTTCTCATTACTTACAGTTTATTTAGTTAAGTTGGGATCCAAATTCCATAGATTTCCCAACCAAAATATTATTTATTGTTTTTGGTGTTTAGAGACGAGATTTGAGTGTAAACAGAACATCGCTTATTGTTAAGGCTTCCATTCTAATACTGAGAAGCCGCTTTTGCATTTTGCAATTGAGGTTGCTTTTTCTTCTTGTAATTTTCTTTGACATTGTGTAATTTTTATTTCTTGTTAATTCTCTCGTGCGAGCTGAGTGGCAACCGGCTCTATTGGCCGGTTAAAAAGCCACTCACTCCAGCACGGGTGCTCGCCATAATGTATTTACTCTCATTATATGGCCGGTCATCTATTCCACCTCCCTCAAGCTCCGTTGCCCTATTTTGCTCTTCATGTCGACACTTACGCACAACCTAAGCGTCATTAGAATCTGTATAAGAGGTTTTTACGGCCACCACTCAGGCCGGCACCTGGTACACGCCGTTAGGAATTTGCATATGAAATTACGTCGAATACAGAAGGGTGGTGATTTTCACCAATCCTTTTCTTTTCCTTGCACACCTCTATTTATATCTGGCATTTGGATATAACAAATCAGAGAATAATCAATCAACATAAATAAGCAAGCATGTGGACAAGGAAAAGGAGAGTGTCCGAAAATCATTTCACGTCGATAAATGTGAAACTTGACTCTCTTCTCCTTCAACTTATTTGAGCCAACTCAACAAGAGGAATGCCAACGTAGCCTCTCTTTCATTCAACTGATTTTGGGCCCAATCTTTGGTATGAATAACTATATTTATTATTTAGAAAAACTAATGAAAAAAGTTTGAAAACTTTGAGTTTTAACGATAAGGACAAAATAAAGGGTAAAGTGAATAGTACTAGGATTGACTTTTTAGTGTAAAAATGTGATTTTTCGTTAAAGTGAACAGTACCATAAGCTTTTCATTAAAGTTCCCTTATTATTTTAATTAACCTCATGATCCATGAGTTTATGTAATAAATTTTCATGAGAGTATTAGCATTAAGTAATACATAAATGTTAAAGGAACTTCCTCAAAAGTTGGACTCTCCATAAATTTTCCGCCACCTCATGTTTTTTGTATAATATTTTATAATGTTAGTACATGAATTAATGTTAAAGTGTGAGTTGACCTCTGTTCATGAGAAGTCTCACTTTTAGAGTAACTCCACTCCTAAAAAATAAGCTGGCCCAAAAGTCCATTTAATCCACCCAAATGAATAGTAATTGGCCCTAATGAATAGTAATTGGTCAAATGCATCTCCACTCCTAAAAAATGAGCTGGCCCAAAGTCTAGTCAATTCGTATTAAAATATTATTAATTTTTTATTATAAAATAATAGAAAAATAATTTTATTTTTAATTTCGGATAGGATTTTTAACCAATCTTGTCACGCCATGTGTCATTATACGAAATTAGTAATTCTACTCCAAAGTTCTCGCAACTGCATCTCATTACCCGTAATCGAGTCATGAGTAATTTGAACCCAACATTCACACAATGTAACATCTTCGATGACCGTCTAAGTAGCCATTTTTTGCACACAAAAACATATGAAAACTTTGGTTCAAAGTGTTGAAAATATTGAGATGATGGTTAGGTATTTATAGAAAAAAAAATTAATTTTTTGTTTTAATTTTTCTGTATTTTTAATATATTTTTTCATAATTTTATAAAGTTAATTAATTTGGACCGTTGGATTTGAAAAATATTGAAATCTAGCAGCCCAAAATTGGACACGTGGCCAACAGTAAGAATTCTAACATTTTTTTTAAATTATTTTTTTTATGTTTTTTGGCTGAAAATCCTAGACCGTTGATCTAGGAATCGAATGGCCCAGATGTTGACATGTCACTAGCCGTTGGGTTTGAAATTCAAAATTTTTTACCATTGGAAATCCAATGGTTAAAAAAAACTAGCCGTTAGAAATCCAACGGCCGAAGAATCGCCACGTGGCCCATGTCCCACCCCCCTTTAGTGCGCCTGCAGCACAGGGCCCGCCGTCTGTTGTCTGTCGAGAACGTGCGCCCATGCACCTGATGGAAAAAAAATATATCAGGCCTTCACTGACATCATGCTGATGCCAGCATGACATCAGATAGGCCGGTTCTTCACTCAATCCATTTTGGGCTAGCCTAGAGATTGGGGTGGACTTTGGACTGGCCTATTTTGTGTAATGGAGTGTGTTTTTTGTGTGCCAGACTATTTTTTTAGGCTTTGGGCCACCCTCCAAAGGAAAGGAGGGGTAAACTTGCTCTTAAAAGAGTCCTTTTAGCATCTCTCTATATAATAATTTGAAGATTACATCAAGTTTATCGATAAGATTCTTTAATTAAGATTTTAATTAGTAAAGAAATGGTTGGATCGGGTGTTTAAATATCGGATCGAGTGAATACCATCATAGGGATCATCTCTTACCACAATTTCTCAAGTCTTTGTCTCACTTCAATTACCTAAGAGCATCGTAATCCCACAAAATTCCAACTTATAATTTATAAAAATTATATAAAATATATGAGCTAGCAAGCAAGGGGTATATGGTGATATCTCACTCACCTTTATTACTTGACTTGAAATACAAGTAAAGTTACATCTGCATATCCTAGTTAATACTTTTGTATTATATATTATCCTACATAAAACTAACACATGTATTAATTCTTGGTGATCGCAATTTAAACTGTGATTAATTAATCCTTAATTACTACTACAAGTAGTGGATTTCTTGGATCGTACAAATCTGAGAACGATCGTCAACAATTCGACAAAGAAACTAAATAATAATAACAATAAGAGAGAAAAAACACATAAATAACTCTATGCAGGCATCTCTATCATGATTTATATATAGTATTATATAACTATATATATAATATTATGGAATGGAAACGAGACAAAGTAACAGTGTTTAAATCAAATAATCATGAAATATTACGAGACACTGTTGTGTTAAACAAGGTATTCTCTAATTCTTTTTCCGATTAATTGAGAATGATCATGAGGCACCATTTTTTGGTGGTTGTGGTATGGAATCATGGAAAACCAAAGTGTAATCAACTGCTTTTTCTTTTGCCCTACCCTCCTAGGGGAAAAAAGCAACTTTAGCATCAATAATTATAGATTATTGATGATGATATAGCTCAATACTTTTATATCCTGCTTGCAATTTGTTACGTTAGACCCGAGCGCTTTACCTTTATTTATTGTAATTAGGCTATTTTAGTCTGACGAAAATCGGCCAATACCTCAAAACAGAAAGAAAAAGACCTTCCTAAAATCATCACAAAGCTATCCGCGTCACCTCCTTTCTCCTCCATACAGAAATAAATGAATGCCAAAGGCAGCTAAAAATCCAGAGGACCACATGCCCACCCCCCCCATTCACTTTCCCTTCGCAAGAAACCAAATCTAAATTGACATAAAAATATTCCAACTATCTCTCTCTTTTCTTTTTGCTCAAATTCCAAATCCGACTAAAAAATCCTTCCGCCAGGTCCAACCAGTATTTTTGGGACGAATGAGAGAAACAAGTTTGACCTGTCATGGTCGTATGAGATGAGATTTTCATGCAAATGGAACCTTGAACTCCAAGTAAATCAAACACTTATGGAACATGTAAATTAATGGAGATTTGTGTAAAAGTACATGATCATCGGATCCCGGCTGGCCGTGGCCGTTCTCTCTGAATTAGACCGGGACCGGCGTTACAATACGGGGGTAAGAGGGCAATGATCTGTGCAAGCAGAAAACTTTCAGAATGTAGTATATAATATGCTATGAGAATCGCAATACCATAGGTTTCGTTGATCTAAAAGAAACAAAAAAATTGCAAAAACAAAAAAATGTAAGGAATAAGGGGTTTTGACCTTTTGATGATGATTTTTCGCAGTTCCAGTAAAACCAAACCTATATATGTTCTTCCCCACCCCACAGACAATGCAGTTTAAGTTCGTTCTCACCCTGAATGGCAGGGTAGCTTTCTATACATGATTTGGTTGGATTATTTCGGGGCTCATACAAAAGATAAAAGATGTCATACAGCTCGTACCATACGTGCATCCTCTCGGGCTCTTCTTGAAGATTACTTCACTACATCAATCTCCATCGCCTCTTCAGAACAAAATGCGCGTTATGGCTATACCTCTGTGGACAACTTTTCTTCCAGATCTGTGTGGGAAAGTAGCCAACACTGTAGAACATGGATGAGTGTCACGCATCTTGTAACGTTGTATATCACGTACTACTTAGTTCATCATCTGATGGTTGCAAACACTCTTCCGGGTTGGCATAGAAATAGTCCTCCTCTTTAGGTCGGTCTTGGATCATCAACCTATTAGTTGGTTTCCCCATGCGATTTGCATGAGCTTCCTTTACCGCAGATGAAAATTCATCCCAATTCAATGATCCACTAGTGTACCGGTCTATCAAATCAACAAGAAGCCTTCTGTCCAGTAGGATTGTCTTCTTGAACCCAAGAAACCTGAAGAATCATGAACACACGATATTTAATTTTAGACGACACTTTTCACCATTAACAAGAAATCAGAGCAGATGATCATGTAACAATAAATCTGAGGAAAATAGCATGAAGCAAATCACGTAAAAAATACATCCCTTCCCAAATATCAAGCAATACAAATATATGAACCTGTTGATAAACTAAAGCTCCAAAACTGGCAATTGTTTCAAACCAAAAACAAAGTCTGACTGGTGCATAGGTGTGTACACAAATGATCGTCTCCTCAAAAGAACAAAATTTGGGACGACAAATAACTGGGTGGAGTTTAAGTTATAAAACCAACCATTGGAGCCAAACAAATTCACTAGATGCATTGAAAATTTGCCATATAACTTTTGCTATGAACAAATGAAACTACAATGTAAGCATAAAGTACCTGCGATGGCCTTCAACCACTTTAGCCATGTTTCCATCATATGTGGGAACGAAGATATCACTCTCCAATGAGACAAGATAATCCAATGCTGCCATTTGGGATGAGTGGTTTTGAAAGAACCTAAGGTCTGATGGTTCCAGCAGTGTCTCTTTTCTGACCTGTTTCAACAAATTCAAAGGCAACTTGTGAAAACAGAAAACCAAAAAAGTAACACAAATACAAAATAGGTGGCTTCAGCTATCTTCTACTCACCAATTTTGGAAAAGCCTCTCGAAGACTT